CTCCGTCCCTCCATTCCTGTCTGTCCATCTTTCAGTCTGTCTGTCACTCAGTCTATCTCTCTGTCTGCCTGTGTGTTTGTCAGTCAGTCTCTCTTTCTGCCTGTCTGTCTGTCCCCCTCTCTGTCTCCAAGATCTCCAAGATCTCCAAGATCTCCAAGCTAATCAAACAGATTGTCAATGAAGGTTTTTTTTTCCCCAATTGAGGGAACTCATTTTTAAATCTCTTGATTAAGTTGCAAAGAAACTTCGGCAATAGCACAAACAAACAAACAAACAGGCAGATTAGCAAACTTCACTCACCTTGGTGTGATTGTAGAATTTTGGAATGTTCTCTATGTATTTGAAGAAAGACTTGAGGTTACCGTCAAAACCTACGCTAGCCATCACCTGTAACATGCAGAGACGATTCAGTTAATGACCATGCTGAAAAAAAATTAAAAGAAAAGAAAAGCAAAACAAAACAACAACAACAACAACAACAACAACAACAACAACAACAACAACAACAACAACAACACCACTACCACCACCACCAACAACAACAACATCGGTAACAGAAAAGCTGAAAATTCTGTTTTACGAGTATACATGTTATATGAAATCAATCCTCACAGCTTGACTTTAAGTTCATACTTCTCCTAGTGTGCTTAAGGTTGTAAAACAGTTAAAACATCATTTCAGAAGCCGAGAAAATTGTATTTGTGAGGCAGCGTGGTAGAATCAGGCTCTCGTCAATTTTTTGGGCATATTGAGTTACTGGTATCATCCTAAAGCATGTTCGTTTGTCTTGCTTTCAAGGAAAAAATTACTCATCCATCTTCACTAGAAAGTGGAGATATTCTGGATTGAAGGAGGTGGGGGTCACCTGGCTTAAGAGGTAAAATTAGCGAGAAAATGGCCGCCAAAGCTTGGTAAATTCCAAAGAAACTGTAATTTTATATTTGTGTGCCTTTTATCAACGTTTTCCGTGACATCCTCAAAGGAATGTGTTTGTAAATGGACATAAAAGGTGTAGAGCCAAAAAAATAAAAATGATAAAAATTGCGAAGCAGGTAGAAAACTGCTGTTTTCTTCGATTTCATTATTTTGACGAGAGCCTGATTCCACCACGCTGCCTCACATTTAAAACCTGAACGCGGTACATTCGCACTAGACGTTTCGGACAAAGACTATTCTTCAACATGCAGTCCTGCTGCCCGCAGTGTCGTCAGTTTACAGCTTTTGAAAGTAGGCCTACATGTTTGACATATTATTATTATTATTATTATTATTATTATTATTATTA